TCCGTCCGACGAGGTGCGCAAGGGTCACGAAGCTTGCCCAGTAGAGGAAATCCATGGTGGCATTGTCCACCCCACCCAGGATCAGGGGAATGGTCACGACGTCCCAGAAAATCAGGAGCATTCCTTCACAGAGTGGTTACCTAGACGAACTGGGTACAAATATACTGGAGGGCTACACTGTGCCACTATACATGCTTCTGTACCTGCAGCGGATGTGGTTCCGTGGTATAGTAATGATATCTGTGCGCAGGCGAGTTGGTCTGGCATGCCTAGGGACAGGCCGTGGGGCAAATACAGAATCGTAAATACAATGCGACTCCACACCCTATCTCGAGGAGTCGGGCCAGAGACTGTAGGAAACCGATTCGTCACACCTGCTTCCTATTCCACAGGTTAAGGTGCTGTTCGGAAAACAGGCGTTTGTCAGCAAGACTGCTACATTAGTTGCCCCGTGGTTCTGCGCCGACTCCTCCAGAACACCACAATCCACAAATCCCAGGCGCTAGCATCCACGAATAGACTCTGAAATCTAAACCTAAACCACAAGTGCACGCCTTTAGCAGGACTTGACTTGGTCAAAGCATTCTAAGTACAATGAGCTCCGCCGTTTACACAGGGTCTGTTTGGACAGACTGCAGATTGAGCTCCTGCTGAAATCTCACCAGTAAGCACAGCACAACTAGGCCTGCATCCAATCTGGATACTAGCTATACCCCAAAGCCAAAAAACAAGCTATGAGCTCCGCCAACAGCCTCAGTACTGTGAACTACAAATTCTTTCCCAGCTCTGCCCTGACAGGGCTCTACGAGTTCGTCTGGCTTGTGTGTAGGGATACGGTCGATGATTGACGGGGTTCAGTGCGGTTTGGGGTCGAGGCCAAGACAGAGATGCTGATAGCCACCCTTGGCTACTCAGTCCTACCCACACCAAATGACTAACAAAAACAAACTCCCGAACCGACAGGTGATGCAGATCCTCAAGGCTTTCAGGGCCTAGCCCTTAGCACAAGATCTCTGGTGCAGAACTGCGGGGTCTTATGGTATCTAGTTCCGTCTGCTTGGTAAGCCGCTCAACTACCATTGCTGAAAACTCCCACCTGATCTGTTTAAGCCCATAAACCTCGGGACAGAGGTGGCTAAAATCCTGAAGCCTCAAAACCCTAAACCCGAAACCCGCTGAACACCCGAACCTGAGAGGGTTTAGCCAACATCCGCCGCGTGACCGAAGCACAGCCACGCAAGGCGTGGGAGAGCATCCGGATGAAAAACGAACCTCAGAGGGCACCCTAAGTTGGAGGGTTTCGAGTGAAGTATAGGGGCCTTAACGATTAGAACAGGATTTGGGGTAGATCATAGCAGTAACTTAATCTATCGTTTTGCAGTTAAGGAGCTTATTCTAAGTCGCTGGGGGACTTCATTCAACTTACTTGGACTGGATGATACTCGCGTGCATAAAACGGACGCTCTAGGATTCTGAAGATGCGGCTTCGCAAAATTCTACATGTCGCCACACAATCTTCTAAATAGACACTCTTCTGAATTAAGGCAAAGCCTTAGCTGCGGAAATTGTGCTGTGTCCGAAGCTCCAGGAGGTGAACGGAGGACATGCAATCTTGAGATGCTAGCTACGGAGATTGTGCTGCGGGTCCTGAAACAATATCCAAAAGTCGGATTCCCCCCTAGAAGGCGGACCTCATAAAGCAAGGATGCAGAACATTACAGAAATTTACACACATCCATGCGTCGGTCGAGAAGGTTCCGAACTGTATTGGGGGTAGAAAATTTTGGGCATGAGTCAGGTCTTGTCTGGGAGTTGCCGAAAATAGGGGACCCTAATATGGGAGTTTCCGCAATTTAGGGGTACCTTATTTTGGGGTCCTTATACTATTTAGGGTACGAATAGGGATCCACCTATTTTCGGAAACCCCCACATAGCACCCTAAATAGTAGGATCATGCGTGATGGAAGCTGAAGGCGGCCGAGAGAACCCCCCAAGGCGGGTGTTGAAAGCTTCTATGCAAGGCTGCTAGATTTACGTAGTATAGGCGCCTTTATGAGTAGAGTAGGGTTTTGGGGCCCATTATACTATAATTGTGTTCAAGATTTTGCGTAATATAGGGGCCTTTATGATTAGAGTAGGGTTTTGGGGCCCACTATACTATAATTGTGATAAGGAGCCCCCCCAGAATAGTATAGGTAATTATTAAGGCCCCGACGTTCGAGTCTTGGGTTTTCTGTTATTCTTAAACAGTACCGATATCAACCACAAAGCTGTGGTTTTGGCGATGCTCAAGTAGATCCCCAACGCAAAACTCGTCAGCGCTTGGGCCGAATCAGCGAGGAGCCTTTGCATAATGGAGGCCTCGTCGACCAGAAGACTTTTCACCCGCATCACCTGGGTATGAAGACACTCTTTGAAGCTGCACCAACAACCCCCAAAGCTCAGAGTAGAGATGTTTAGGCTGCGCTCTTTTAGGGTCCCTCGTAGGGTATCTAATTGTACGGAAACTGTCAAGGCCTGCGGCTGCATTGGGATCCATGAAACGATGAATACATGTAGAGATGGCGACGTGCTACTGCAATCGAATCTCAGGCTCATAACTTAAACAAGAGGACGCCAGTAGGTCTGTGTAATGTTGCAAAACCTCCGCAGAGATGAATGGTTCAATGCCAAGACCTACGCTCCGAGAGTATCCCGATTTTCGTTCGTTGCAGAACGTCCAGCGCGGCATGTGAAACCTTCAACCGAGCTTCCACATGTATCCGCAGCGCAGAAAACTCACCAAGCCCAAATCAAGCCGTAGCAAAGGGGGCCAAGCAAAAATTGGGCATAGTCCAGGACATTCAAACAAATAGTATGGAATTCAAGGAATCGAAAGAAGTAGGTGGGCCCAGGACCCTTAAGTCGCGCAGGCGAAACCCGATACCAAAGCCCAATCCTAACCCAAGTCCTCCAACCTCTTTGCATCAGGTCTCCACTGCCCTAAGCCAACATGCCCGCGTCACGTCGCAAAACTGGCAGATATCTGCACCCTCCACCAGCGGAACCAGCAACCGTAAAGTCGTAAAGTTCTTCAGGTGCCGCCATGGTCACAGAGACGCTTGGGCGAACGGACCCCTGCTTCGCTGCATGCCTGGGCTGTTCATGACTGGTCAACAGGCTTCAACGATCTGTGCGGTGTGGAGTCCCTCACATCAGAACTTCAAGGTATCCTTAATAGATGCCATGTGGTCCTTCATGTATACACTGGGTCTGTAAGAGCTGATATAGCTGCTACGATTCCCTTGGTTTCTGAAACTCCTGCACAGAGTGAAATGCGTGACAGTTTGCCAGGAGCCCCGAGGAGGTCCTTGAGTGTCCTACTGCAAGGCTTATACAGAATCTTGCCGCTTGATCAAGCAGTCTTGGGTCGTTTGCAGTTTCTGGTCTTTGCAAACGGACTTGAAGGTGCAGGTCTTCCTGCATGGAAGTGTAGGGCTTGCATGCACTGGACACCACAAAAGGCTTCGGGCTCAGTGTTCAGGGGTTACGGTGTCGGCCCTCACACCAGAACTGATCCATGTAGCTCAACTATACCTGTGTCACGGCTGAAACACGAAAGGTGTATGTATGCATGTATGTACGAAAGGAGGTAATTACGGTAAGTTCGTAAGTAATTAAGTAAGTAAGCAGGCAAACAAGCAAGCTAGCTAGCAGCAATGTATGCAATTATGCAGGCATGCATGGATGCGTATATGTATGGTGTGTGTGGGTATGTAGGGACGTAGGTAGGCATTGTTGTATGCATTCATATTTGTATGCATGTATGTATATGTATGCATATGTACGAAGGTACTTGTGCCTTATTTAAGCAGGAAACCAATGTAATATGCCGTCCCACCACGTCCGAGAGGCTGAACTCCGAATTCCTTCTTCCGAAACCTGAAGCTTATACTTCACACCCAAAAACCATGCCAGCAAGCTGCGACTTGCGAACAGTGACTTTGGTCCCTGTGCGGCATTCGGACTGTTGGTTTCGCCCAGCATTGGGCTTACATCGTAAGACTGTAAGACCTTTCTGTCGGTGCTTGGGATGTATATAGGAACCTAAACACTTCATCGCAAGCCGCTTCAGGATTCAGGGTTCCGGGTTATCGTGTTCCGTACATAGAAATACCGGTACGGCGGTGGAACCCATTGAACTCCTTATCTCACCATTAGCATTTTTGGGTGTTCGGGCAGGTAGTCTCCCAAGTGAGGTCCTTCCTGCAACTTCTTCTGACTACCCTACCCAAGGGCCCCAAAGTAGTTCCTTTTTGGGATTACCTTATAGGATTCTACATACGAACCCCAAAAAGGAACTACTTTGGGGCCTTAGGGTAAAGCAAACTGCACCCCCGACATGGAACGCATAGTAGAACTTACGGCGGTACTGCACTTGGCCGGGTTTAGGCCGACATCCCGAATGTTTGACTTTGACCAGTGCACGACTACCGACTACTCGAAAAGCCAAACATCTACCGAAACGAGAGAGTCATCCCAAAGGAAAATGGCATCGACGCTCGCGCTGAACTCTAGAGGATTGTGCGAAAGCCGGACCCGGGAACAACGGTTTAATCGAACCTTGTTGTAACCGAACCCGGATAACCCTCAGTCGCAACCCTGAACCTCATACGTGACCTTGGATTAGGATGCGGGAGCATGCCGGAAGCAATCAACACGCCTGCGGACCATTGTGGATGAATGGAGAAGTACTCGGCAGGCATCTGAATCCTCCGAGGATCTACGGCATCCCACTAGGAGCTTGAGGATTGTCCTTCCTGGTGTGGTGTGGGTGTGGGCGTGTGCTGGTTCCGACTCGCCTTGATTACAAGTTGGACATACCAGCAGAATTCGGGCTTCGGGGTCTTCAACTGCTTTCTGGCCGTGGCCCCACATGGGTCTTACGATGCTCGCGTCTGCCAGGCTTGCAGAGCTACTCCGACCTTTTCGGAATTTGGGGGACCAAGCACCGCAGCAAATCTCAACCTCAACAGCTGTCGCCTTCTGGGCCACCCTGATGCGTCCGGAGGAGGAACTCGCAAAACACTAAAAAATGAGGCTCGGGTTTTGTATGCGCACCCCTTTTTGGCAGGGCCTCAGGGGCCCTGTGAAGGATTAAAGCTCGGAGCAGTCTTAGTCCCTGAAACTACGTTCCCAACAACCCAAAAACGCTCGTAAAAATTGATATGACAAGCGGTTTCCATGGATGCCGTTTTCTGCATCAGGACTTGTGCAAATCGCCTGAACGCCGACTTCCTCAACCCTAACCCCTAAACTCCTAAACCATAGCTTGCGCTGGCCTCCGATCGGCTGCCAAGCCCTGTGGCGAAGTGGAGGGTGAGCATGGATTGCTGCAGCTTTTCGCTCTTCGGCACCCATAGAAGCTCAGAGTGACTGTTCAACGGGCTGCGAATCCTATCGTCCTATCGGCTGTGCTAAGACATGCAGCTCGACTTGTTGAAGGAACCCACGCTCACTTGAAGTTTGAAACTCGCCTACGCTAAGCCACATACCCATTGAATCAGGAACTTTCTTAAATCCGTTGACTTGCAGAAGGGGTCGTTGGTGTGGGGCTTTCTGGGAAGTCCCAACAATACTCAACCCAAATCCTAAACCGATCACAAACAAAAGCCTCTATACGGTTGAAAGTACAGAGCACAGAAACGGCGGGGATGAAATCTTCTTTGGGAGATGTGATTCGGCTTCAACGAGGGCCTCAAGAATGGAATAGGGTCAAGGGGACACACTACGGAAGTGTTCAACAAAGGTTCCGAGCACAAAATGATATCATTGCGAACAAATCAAGCCTCTTTTCTCTTTCAAGCAGTGACGCTGTGTTCTGCCGACGGGGCCTTGGAGCTGCTAGAGTTGCTGTCAACCTCAAGGCGCTACAAATTCGGGCTTACCAGGGTTTAGGACCCCGATGTCTGATACATTTGGGACTCCCACCACCCCCGAATCCGGAACTCTACCCACTAACCCGGCAGCTTCTTGCGCACCACGGGACTCCCTCGAGTGCCGGCAGCAGAAGCGACTCCCACTTTGGCAAAGTGCGCAAGTCCTGATTTCAAGGGCGCAAGGCTTTCTGAGCATTCGTGGGTTCGCGATGCAGGCTAACTCTCCGAAAATGACAAGGGCTTGCATGCAGGACGCAAAGCTTAAACTGCAACCACAGCCTTACTTGGATTCTAAACTCTATCTCCTAAACAAATGGTGCACCCTCGACCTCGTCCTCTTAGTACACCCCAGGAGTCCTCTCGGCTGGAGTGCTGGCTGAAGATCTCCTCCCCTTCGATCATTGGATACGCCTGCTGCACACTTGACATCGACGAGTCGACCCTACGACTTGGGTCTGATAATGTCCAGGCATCACGGTACCCCTAGGGGGGCTTCAGGGTTCCAAAAGGCCTTTTCGAAAGCGACTTGTGTAAGCTCGTTCAGTACCGTTCTTCACGGTTCGGCGCTCAAGCGCAGTGACGTCAAGGCCTCTGCATCTGGGTGCTGGAATAACGTGTCCAGTCTGGATGCAGCCATCACCATATTTCTAGAGGCCTGCCACTAACTTTCGGCTTTGACGGCAGGCGAGCGGCAATAACAAACTGCCACAATATGATACCCAACAATGCAGCAGTCAAAGGTGAAACACTATCGGTCACTATCGAAAACAGAAAGAGTCTTGCTTTGCCACGACGAAGGCTAAGCGAAGCACTGCCTGCAGGTGCGCTGGCAGTTCTCCCTCACAGCACCGTCGTTGCAATCAACATTATCGCAATTTATCTTGTCATAGCAACACTGAGTCGGGCAGCTTGGGCTGCTCGCCTCAGCACAGCAGGTAGCCGGGCATAGCTGCCGCAGTGGGGCCGCGGACCAGAGCTCCGGGTTCGTGTTGCCGGCACAGTAGTTTGTAAGCGTCACCGGGTCTTCAGAGACATTCAGCAAGGCACTACAGCCCTCTGTCATCATCTTCTCGGCAATCGCCTTCACTTGGCTCTTCAATGGTTGGCTTAACACTACTGCAAGGGACTCGACTTCGTCAGGGTACATCTGCCAAAAGTCTTGCCAGCTCCTCGCAGTAACTGGGACGTCCGTGCAGTTGAGATCTCGCATCTTGCCGAAATTCATTGAATCACGACACCCTTTCGAGCATCCATGGTACTCCACCTTGTACCAGGGATTCGCAAGCACCTCTTCGCATCCACATGTCACTCCACAGGACAGGCGGAGAAGGTGGTAGCCCTCATAGTCACACAGCTGTCGCATGTCTTCGCAGCTGCTGTTATCGGGAAAACCGACACTATGCGCTGTGGAATACCAATAGGGGCCGTACACTGCCAACATGTCTGCGGATTGGTTGTTGTCGTTGTCCAGCCAGGAATCAAAGTTTTCACACGTTAAAACTGTTTTCGCTATGGCCTCCATGGTTTGGGTCCGCTTACTCTCGAACTTTTTGTTCTGTTCAAAAAGAATACGTTGCCAAACACGCCCCTCGGTAAAGGCAAAGTCCGTGACTGCCTTCTCGATCAAAGTGGCATTCCTGCTGCTTGAGAAAGGCAGTGTCGTTCGCCCAATGGTCACTTGTTGGTTCTCGTTGACGTCCACAACAAATTCCTGATCACCATCACAAAACTTTTTCTTCACCAGCTTCATGTTCTCACCCAGAGGTTCCACCAGCTGAAACCAAGGCAATAGTACTAGCAGAGTCATGATCAGCAGGAGGAGCAAGGCCTCAAACTGGCTGCGCCTCCGAGAATAGACCACCTTGATCGCCTCAAGGTCCTGAATTTTTAAGGGCTTAGGGAGTTTATAGGGCTTAGGGAGTTTATAGGGCCATCTAGGAAGGCTAGTAAGCTTAGAGAGACTAAGGCGGCGTTCCCGTACAGATATTCGACGTCCTGTCCTGAATCTTGATTTGAATTTTCTTGGGCATCAGGGCCGCAAAGAACATCTCGTCGACATCCAAGATCGCTCCAAGCGCCACGGCATTCAGCACCAGGTCTTTGATGGATGTCGTGTTAGCTAGCCAAAGGATGCCACCGTACAGCAAAAAGCTTGCAATCATGCCTCGTACTAACCGTGCAAAGCAGAACACAAAGCAGCGCGCATAGGATATGCTCACCAAGCGCCCTTGCTGAAACTTGGTGCGTGCTCGCCTCGGCACTTGTAAGATCGCCTCAAAGGAGAGGCCAATCGATCGGAATTCATTGCACAGGTAGAGACACCAGAGAAAAATGCACAGCATGCACAGTAGAATGCCGCGACGCAGCTCCGTGGGCTCGAGTTGTGCGGGCTTGATGCTCAGAAAGGCATTGATCTGCCCTATGAGATTCGCTTGGCTGGTTGAAACAATGATCGTGTCATCCTTGTTGCAAACCCTGGACGCAAGGCTTACCTCCGAAAGGTCCATGTGCTTGTAATCGTGTGCCAACCCGCGTCTCCACTTCTCCGCGTGGCCTATATGCTTGGAAAATGGCTCCCCCAGAAAATCTTCAGAGAGCAGGATGAGACTGATGGTGACCTGCAGCGCAGCGCTGGCAAGTAGAAGCAAGAGACTTACGAAGTTGTCCAGCCATCCAGCCTCGGTGAACCCTAGCACTAGCACGACATTCCAAGTCGATTCGTGAAAGCCCACAGGCTCCAAAACATCTTCGAGGTCCTTCATCTCTTGCACATCGTTCTGAGGAGTCTCGTTCCAGGCGTCCCGACCTGTATCCACAAGCGGCACAACTTGCCCGGGCTTGGCCTGAGCAATCCCCGGAGAAGGCTCTTCGAAGTCACCGGCCAGGGCATCGTTCGGCTTTGCATTCGTTGGTACCGGAAGCGCGTCTCCTTTGAGGAGCAGCATCTCCGTTTCCAAATGGTCCACTCTGGCGAGCAACTTGGCCAGTCCGTTGTGCAGCTCGGTATGGAACTCTTCCCGCAGCTTCTGTTCCAGAGTCCAAATCTTCTTCTCCAGTTTCGAAGTTGACATCGCGCTTCAACTTTAGTGCGCCTAAGCCAGCCACGCCTTGAGGCCTCTGCCAGCCGGAAACTGTGTCGTGAACACTTGAACCGTTGCGTGTTTAGGGCTGGACTGGTGCAACCATGCACTGCAGACATTAAACGACAAACAAAGGTGGATCAATGTGCCTCGCCGAGCTCCGAAGCCGGCTGCCAGGAGCTGTAAGGTAGTGGCTGCGAGTCCACGTTCAGGGTCATGCCTGTTGAGTATCCAAGTCTCAAGGCCCAGAGGAATTAAGTGCTCCGGGTTGCGAGCTCTAGGGCTTTGGTACTGGGTTCTGTTCTTCTAGATTTGACGGTCGGGGTTTGCGGCGAAGATGGATAGCTTTCTTGATTTCTTGATGTTATCACTAGCAAGTGCCACGTAGAGTGGAGGGATACCAACATGAATAATTTTTGTTTGATGGACTGGCAGAAGGGAAGACAGGTAGCCTGCTGAATTCCTCTCGCAACTCGAACTCTCCAGAGGGGACAGATAGCCACAGCAAGAAGCAACATCATATATATATATATATATATAATACATATAATATATATATATATATATATATATATATGGTCACCCCCCCCCAAGATCTACATCCGCCTCTTCCACACAATTCGACAGGTTGATTCTCTACATTGGTCGACTACTCATATATGCCGAAAACACTGTAAATTCCGATACAATTGTGCTTTACTCCATGTGCATGCAAACAGTACTGCTACAAGTCGCGGGTTTGATATGTGTAAAAGTCTGGCGCCGAATCTCGGCAGCAGATTTATGGTAGTTTATATGTTGGAGAAGCTGAAATGCTGGAGGGCGTGCTATTTTTGTTCAGGTAGTACTAAAAAAACCTCGTGTTTTTTGCGTTTTATGGTGTGTTATTTAACGACATTCCTCTAATAATAAAAATACTATTGTCTTTCTTACGAGAACGTCTGTGTGCGTGGGCCATCTCTTTCCCGCTGCTCGTGAGCGTCCGATTCTGATTCTGATGCGGCCTAATGGCTCTAGCATTTGATTTATGAGTTACGAAACACAAACATGTCTTGTCCGATATATACGGAGGAAGTCGAATATACGGGCGCATTTATTTTTGAAGCAATACTCCAATAGTTGTTCTTTGCCTCATAAAAAATGGGAAAGCTCCCCTGGAGTTGGAAAGTTCATGTGCATATGCGGGCGCACAAGAAGGCTCGTCTGCAGCAAGAAGTAAGAGAGCTCTTGCAACCTTCCAAACATGGAGCAGGACTAATTACGACTGGCTGCATTGATACGTATCAATCACAAGGCAGTGGCTCCTTAACCTTGTAAAACAAAGTAAAATGGCACTTCATGGAAGAAAACTCCTCTTTATGTTGTGAGTCGATATTAACGGCAGCCATGTGCATAGCAATCGCTATCTATTTTCGAGGGTACTCATTTGGGCCATGAGTTTTCATTCGGTTAACTCTTATTAATGATGCTGTCCTATACCCCGGAGAAGATGCCGATCGCTATGTCCATGGCTGTTTCTCTAATTGCTGTCATAGAACGTAGCGGAAAAAGTAGCTCTCTTCAATCTTCAAGCGACACTCCCCAGATGTGATCAAGAAACAAAGAGAAGCTTGCTTACTGGTATCTTTTATTAAACGGGCAAGAGGCATAAGACTTGTATCGGTTTCTACACCTCCCTCACATCCTGACAAAGCGATACCGGTCCTTCTGTATGTGACTGTGGTTTAAACGCTGTCATAGTTCGTATCACAACATGAAAAAGAGCTCTCTTCAGTCTTCAAAGACTACAGGTGACATCGTAGAATTCTCTTCTGGGTTAGCAGGAATCTTCATGTCTCTTGCTTGATAGGTATGAGGATGTCTCATAGGAAACCGAATAGGAAGTCTCCATTGTTTCTGATGATAGCAAGATGCAAACAGTTTCCCACAGTCTGGATCTGTAGGCGGTGCAGCTTGCCGAAGAATGGCCAAAACCATTTTCGAGAAAGCTCAGGTACTGGAGCCAGTGCTGCTGGTGCCATAGATCTACCAACCAAGGAAAACATATATGAAATAAACTATGCAACGACTAGGCCTTTTTCATACTTGCCTAACAAGAGCAATGAAAACCGTTGTTGTTCCAGAAGACACATAAATCATTACTTCCAGTCCTTGACAACGGTTGAAAGCACACAATTATCTTGTGATGCAATATATCCTGTCCTGGACATCAGAAAACACTGTGATGCTCAAAAAACTTCCAAAATTTCCAGCCCTGAAACTCACGAAACACTGTACTGCTCAAAAAATCCCAAAATTCTGGCATCTATGGCCAGGCCGGGGGCAGATTCCTTAAAAGTTTGGAATTTTTTGAGCATAGCAGTGTTTCGTGCGTTTTTGAGCATTACATGTTTTGTGCGGTTGAACCGCACCTCGTCCGGGTGGATTTCCATGGCTTCGTGTGCGGCAAGATTTCAATAGGCTTGGAGTCACACTTGATTGTGCACAGGTGCGCACTTATCACATATCGCATGTCCCTCTTCACTAGACCCTCTCATAAACACTCACTGGCTCAAGATTTCGGCTGTGGGAGAACGGGACGGACCAGGCGGTTTGGGTTTTAGGACCAGCATCACCAGGTTTGGGGGCGGACAAGACACGCACATCATGAGCATCAGCGGTGCTGCTTGGCAGTGCAATAACTGGAGCCGCTACCCCATGACCTCGTTGTTGAGTGGTGCATTAAGCAAATTCATTTCTTTTTGACCATGATCAATCTCAAAGACCATTTCTAACCAGGCGGTTTTGGTTTTAGGACCAGCCCCGAAGCCGACTGATGCTCATGAGGCCACGGCTGATGCTCATGTTTCTACACGTCCTCGAGTTTCCAGATTCCAGATTTGCAGGATAAGTTCCAGATTCCAGATTTGCAGGCTCTAGGTTTTCAGATTCCAGATTTCCAGATTTGCAGGCTCTAAGTTTCCAGGTTCCAGATTTTCAGATTTGCAGGCTCTAGGTTTTAGATTCCAGATTCCAGATCTCCAGATTTGCAGGCTCTAAGTTTCCAGATTCCAGATTCCAGATTTCCAGATTTGCAGGCTCTAGGTTTTCAGATTCCAGATTCCAGATTTCCAGATTTGCAGGCTCTAAGTTTCCAGATTCCAGATTTCCAGATTTGCAGGCTCTAGGTTTCCAGATTCCAGATTTCCAGATTTGCAGGCTCTAAGTTTCCAGATTCCAGATTTCCAGATTTGCAGGCTCTAAGTTTCCAGATTCCAGATTTCTGGAAATCTGGAAACCTTAGGGTGAGCAAATCTGGAAATCTGGAATCTGGAATCTCTGGAAACATAGTGCCTGCAAATCTGGAAATCTGGAATCTGGAAACCTAGAGCCTGCAAATCTGGAAATCTGGAATCTGGAAACTTAGAGCCTGCAAATCTGGAAATCTGGAATCTGGAAACTTAGAGCCTGCAAATCTGGAAATCTGGAATCTGGAAACTTAGAGCCTGCAAATCTGGAAATCTGGAAACCTACGTACTGCAGAAAGCCGGAAATCAGGAAATCCAGACTCCGAAAACCTGCAGACGTAGATCTTGGGGGGGGGGGGGCGAGCATATATATATACATGTGTGTATGTATATGTGTCGAGAGTGATGCTCTCGAGCGTCCGGATTCTGACTAATGTGGGATCCCGCCTAAACCCTGCCACAGAATGAAATGACGTGTCTTCAGTGTGCCAGATCTGAAATATCAAGAGCTCAATACCTCGTATTAGAATGATCAATCATGATCAGTAATAGGTACTTACCAGTAAACTCTACCAGTGGTCCTAGAAAACGAATCGACAAACTTCGGTCAAAAAGCCTCGCCCTAAACACTCGAGACGTCACATACAAGAGGGTCAGCGAATTAAACCGACTACGACAATGCCTTAACGTGTTCCGCCCTGTGTGGCCCAGCAGAAAGCTCCGCAGAGCTCTGACAAACGAAAAGATTGAGAAATGATGCGTGGGGTGCTCCCAAAGGCCAGCCGCGAAGCGGACACTGTAAAGCTTATGCAGCGTTGCTGAGCACCTTGTGGAAGCCATCGTGAGTAAGTGTGGAAACGAGAATGCCGGCCGATCAGAGTTCATTTTATCCTGCGTATTGTCTTCAAGGCGAACTACATATATACATATATACATAAATACACATATATATATATATAAACATACACACACACATATATGCTACCCCCCCCCCCCAGATACCAATAGAATTGTGTGTTTTGTGCTCTAAACCCTGCAATTCATGACACCAAGACACTCGAAGGTCTCAGATACTTCTAGTGCACGACCAGAATAAGGTGATTTTGTTCATCCCCTAGATCCCGCAATTCAAGACGCATGCATCCAGGAGGCGCTTAATACAGGGCCAGGCAAGCCTGACTACATTGATGCCATACACATACAGGATGCTTCAGCACATGATAGGTAGGTAGTAACGGTTTAATGGCACCCTCTGTATTACTTAGACGTGCCTCTAATCTATCACCCATCCTTCCTTATCACACGCTAATAATAGTACAACCCTAACACCAACAACTACCACTACCACTCCTCCTCGTGCTGCTGCTGCTATTACTGCTACTACCACATTACTACATGTTTAGATAGGTCTATGTGTTTCAGCGTCATTCCACATCTTGCCCCAAATGTATCCAGGCGACCTTTTCCTAGACCATGTCTTCTCACCATATTGCTCCTAAATTTCGTATCATGATATTAAGTTAAATCCTGTCACATATCCAACTATTATCAAGATGGTCATAACAAACCATCACAAGAACCGTACTACGACTACAATCTACTACTGATACTACTACTACTACTACTACTACTACTACTGCTGCTACTAACTACTACTACTACTACTGCTACTACTACTACTACTACTACTATCACTACTACTACAACTGCTACTACTACTACTACTACTACCACTACTAAGGGTTTCGGCTGAAGCGCTGAGCAGTTGTGTAGGGCCTCCTTTCACCAGGGTTCATGGCACGGTGCCTTTTATACCTGACTGGCCTCTTCTGTCTTCCAATCTTGAACTGCTCCGAGGGAGACCGACTTCAGTTGCAGGGGTCCCAATTCCCCTGGGCGGATCCTGTTAACAATATGAGTGAAGGACACCGAGGACCGCTTAACCCGAGGGTTTGTGACCGTACCACAACGGCCCTGCGAGCCTCCGATCAGG